ATTGCTTTGTAAGAGGTCTGCGCCCCAAGTGCTGCCGACAAGCGACTTGAGGGCCTTGTTCCTACTTTTCAACTTATCGCAGTTAACTGTGGTTTGTGCGGACGATTTAAACATACTGTCGAATGTGACCCAGAGTATTTTGGGGTAGTTGGTGGTCGGAATTGTATGCCCCTCGACCTGCACATTCAACGGCATTCTCATCTCTGCAGTCCATGTGGGGAATAATGTAGCTGACGACTCGTGCTGGACGACGAGGAGGTACCAGATGGAATACACCGATTGATCCCATCTTCGAACTCGACTTAGCGTTGTTAAAAAAGTGCGACGATGTGCAAAGTTTAATATTGGATTCATAGAAATTTAAATTTAACCCTTTGTGGGACAGGTACTAGAATGAATGCGCCGATTAATTCCATCTTTCAAAATACACAGACTTTTCTAAAAATATTAGGTTGTGCAATGTTTGGATCAAATCGGATAGTCCAATGGTATAATATTACAAAATTACTTTTTAAGCAAAATGTTGACAATTTTGTGTAGAAGATGTATCAGAAGTGGTGAACCAATATCCTCCATCTTCGAACTTGATATAATTATGGAAGAAATATTACGGTGTACAAAGTTTGCATTAAATCATTTACTCCCTTGGAAAGTTTGCGTATGCTCCAACCATCCAGACAAAGACGGACGGTCGGACATTTGTAAGTCGACTCCAAATTGTCTGAGACGGATTTGCGTCAATGAAATATGGGGCCTGAAAACAATATTTCGATCAGGCACATTTTTGCTTTAGCAAACATAACTGATCAAGAACAGAATACGTCATTCTCGACTCAATTCAATACGATATGCCAAATTTCGTGTAAATCTAAACTATATAGTGCCCACTTTTATTACAATTAACAAAAAATATTTGATATTTAAAAATCTTTAAACTTCCGCATAATGGTCTATGTGCAGAATTTGTTTTACCTAAAAGTATGCTATAATTTTCATTACAAACCAACAGCGACAGAAAAATTGCCGTTTTTAAAAATGCCATTTTTGTGTGATTTTTCATTTTCAGGTAATGGGCGCCCAGCACTGAATAGTACTAGTATTTCGGAACATCGCTGAATTCAAATGCAAATAACTCAGCGGCTACTTAACCGATTTTCATAAATTTTGCACAAATAGTTCGAGGGAATTATAAAATTTTATTCCACATTTACAATATATATGTAAACTTATTTTATATAAGAGAAAATTATCATTATGTGGAAGTTAAAGATATTTAAAATATAGACTGTTTTTGTTGTTGGTAAGGCTTAAGGGTAAAAAGACCTGAATATCACTAAAATTTACGTGTATCAGGGAACAAACATGACTCTTTTCATGCTAATCAGTTAATATTATGGACCCAGACTTTTGTGCGAAAAATTGCAAGTTATGTTTTAAAATTATCACTTTATTTTTTGTTTTTTACAAAGTTTACCGATTCCAAAACAAAGACAAGTATTTGCCCTACAATATGAACAATTCGTAAAAAATTACAGCCATCTGAGACAAAATCAGTGAGGAAAGTGAGGAAATGTTTAAATTAAAAAAAAAAAAACATTTCTCTTATCTTAAACAAATATATATCTTCTTTGTTAATTGCAGGTTCTTGTGAATTGTATATTCTCGGATTTCCATATGATGACAATCGAAAACGATCTACAAATAAGTTGAAAATATGGGAGGTTCACCCGCATATAACGATATTTATATCATTTGGAATTATCCTGTTCATAAAATTCAACAAGAAGGGACCAAAGAGACAAAAGAAGTCGGTTAAATTGTTAAGAAAATTATTATTTATTATAATTAATATTTACTAAGCAAATAATATTGAGAACCCCCACTAACAGATTTTTTGACGTACATAAATAAAAAAACCTTTTTAGTATTCGTTTTTTTAACTGTTTATTTGTTTTATTTAAGTATACAATCAATCAAAATAGTATATAAAGAAAAAATAACTACATACACTACTTCTTACTTAAAACTATTTAATACAGTTGTAGTGTACAAGAAAACATGACGAATAAAGTCTGGCTGAAAGTTTGGAGAGGGTATTTTCTTTCGGAAATTGGAAGTTGAAAACTGTGGGCATTCAGCTTTGTAACATGTATCTGAATTGAAATTAGGATCAAAGTTTTGTGGGTCATATCAGGATCGCTGAGTATTTTTTATATAAAAATATATAGAATTTCATCAGGGATCTCTGAAGTGTTTCTCTTTCACAAAAGACGTCTGAGGTGTCTCTTTTTCTATAAAAGGTCACAGACACCTGGGGCCCAAATAAATAGTATGTCTTTCAATAGAAAACATTTTTCTTACAGAGAAACAAATTATTTTGTATAAAAAATTGGCATATTAAAATATTATTTTTAAGAAAAATTGTTTCATTAAGTTTTTACACTATCTAATACATATTTATTTACATATATACAAACAAAAAACTATTAATACCTTTCCTGGAACAAGTTCCACTTCTGTTCAGTAGCATTTTTAAAGAATGCATCTGGAGTACTTGTATCCGCCGGTACACTGGGAACCTCTCGAAATGTGGGATGTATACGTTTGAGATGATCAAACATATTCGATGTATTACCACTGGTCTTGTAATGTCTTGAACAAAAACGGCATTTCGCATATTGACCATCTGTGGTTTTTACAAAATATCTCCAAACCTCTGATGAAGGTTTCCTTCCTTTTGTTTTCATTTTAGTTTCTTTCCTGATATAATTCGTAGAATTTTTTGTTGTAGATTCGCTAAAATTAACTGCGCACATTATTTCAATAATTTCTTCTTCGTCTTCTTCTTTACATGTTGTTTGTTGGATTTCTTCGTGATGTTCGGAGGTAAATGATATATCATATTTTGTTTCTTCAATATCATCACAACTATTTGATTGATCATCTATGAATTCTTCCAAATACTCTTCCTCTACAATCTCCTGTGGACATATAATTTCTGTTGATTTTTCAATATCATTTCGGGTTTCATTATCATCACTGGTAGTTTCTTGAACGGTTTCTTCAAACAGTGCCCATAAAGCTGAAGAAATATGTTCATCATCACTTTCTATGCTATTAGTTGCATTTGCAGTTTCCCGTTCGTTAGGATGTACACGTTTCAAGTGATCTAACAAATTTGAAGTATTACCACTGGTTCTATACAGTTTTGAACATAAACAACATTTAGCATATCTGCCGTCTATTAATTTTTCAAAAAATCTCCATACTTCAGAGGATTGCTTTCCGGCCAGTTTCACAACTCGATTTTCATTGTTTTTATTTGGTACAGGCGCTTCACGAAATTTTGGATGGACCCGTTTAAGATGATCAAAAAGATTAGTTGTATTACCACTGGTCTTATAAATTGTTGCACAAAATAGACACTCGGCAAAATCACCACCATTTGTTTTTCTAAAATAATTCCACACTTCTGAGGATTTCTTACGCACCCTTTCCACAACTATTCCCTTGGGAGCTTCCTTTGTAGGCAATATATGATTTGTGTCGGAATTATCATCTGAATTTTCCAAATATGCAAATAATTCGGTTATTGTCATTCCAACCCGTTTTTTCGTTTCATTGTGAGCTATGATGTTTTTAATTGTTTTATCTGTAGAACTGCAACGTATCCGGCTAGTGGGATGTGCTCGTTTCATATGATCCAATAGGTTTGAAGTATTACCACAGGTCTTATACATTTTTAAACAGATACGACATCTAGCGAATTTACTATTATGTAGTTTTTCAAAGTAATTCCACACTATGGAATTTCCGGTCTTTCTTTCTCTTGTTTGTTTTCCACTTTGACGTACAATATCACTATCGCCGCCAATATTCCATTTGCTACCAGCTATGTTGATTGAAATATAGTGTGATTAAATTATGTTTTCCTTTTTAAATTTTAACAGCTACTTACGTTTAATTATTGTTCTATTAATCTCCATGGCATATTGCTCCTCTTAATTCATTTGTTTGCTCGAAAAATAACGTAAAAATAGCAATAATCCACTATCGGTTGGTTACATTCGCCGAAATGCCAACATATGTACAAGTGATGACATTTCTGACGATACTACCGATAGTCCCAGCTGCTGTCGATAGTTATGCATTAACATCGGTACTATCGATAGGATCATTACATGTGTGTCAACTCTGTTGCGTTTGCACTCTCTTCCCAACATTAACTGAACTCGTTATAGAATGAAATTTTAAGAAAATATAAGGAGAAAATAATATTTACTTGCCCTCTCAATAAATCCAGGTCAATAAATCCAGGTTATTCCACAATAAAAGTTCCCATCGACTGCAATAAAAAACGTCAACAAAATGCCATGCAAGATAGTAAAATTAATGAGAGAGAGACCACGTGTTATCAATCCTATGTGAATTTCAAACACGATTCAAATTTGACTGAGAGAGATGATTAAAAATTACAATACTTTTCCCGTTACTCCTACTTCGTTCCAGCAATTATGGGTTGCTTCCACATTAAATTGGAAGAAATTAGCATGTAATGTAAAATAAGATATATATGTTAATGACAGCGAGAACGTTAAATTGATGCCATACGTTATCAGTCCAAAGTGAATAAAAAATTAAAGTCTTTATCAGTCAGACAAATAACAGCTTTTTGGAAAAAAATAAAGGCTAAATTGTAAAAAATTATTTATTAGAAGACAATAACAAATAAATATGTTGAAAAACTGAATTTTAAAGGAAAGCTATATCATCATGACACTGCCTTTGACAATCCATATTAAACTGTCAAATACAATCAATGCAATGATTCCCAAGAATTGCAAATAATTTAAATATGTAACAACACTTATGTCACACACTGTACTAAAAATTCTAACATCACAGTGTTGCATAAAAAAGTTCTAAAATACAAAATCACCCTTGGGAAAGTTGAGCACATGCAAGACCGCACCAACAAAATCAAAACAATTGTGGTGGTCCAGGAACAATAATCGAATATGAATTCCTTTGAGATAAAAGATATACCAGGGAAGGTAAAACTACCCATTATAACAATGAAAATACATTTTGCTAATAACATTCCATTTACAGGGTCGTGCTATGGTTGCGGCAAAACTTATCAATGCTGGTGATACCATATTCGAAGAAGAACCATTTGTTTCCTGTCAATTTTCATGGAATGCTGCATATGGTTATGCTGCCTGTGATCATTGTATGCGACCACTGGAGACGGTGACAGAAAATGTACGTCGCTTGGCCAGCAACCAAACACTTGTGGTACCTCTGACAGAGCATGATCCCACCAAGCAATGGCTGGAACAATTTACCGTCTGCCCTAACTGTAAGATACGTTATTGTTCGGAAGATTGCCGTGTTGAAGCGTTGAAGAAATATCATCGTGTCGGCTGTATGGGTAATTTCCGACAAGATGATTCGCATCCCATAAATCGTTTGAATGAAATATGGAAGTAGGTTACATATTTAATATTTTATAAGGAAATCTATTTAAACATTTTATTTATTTTTCAGAAAAATGCATTATCCCCCAGAGACTGGTACCATAATGTTGTTGGTACGCCTTATGGCAATGTATCAACAGTCTTCAAACAAACCTGAGTTCTTGGAATCACTGCAATCATTCCAGGCTTTGATTGTTAACAAAGAACAACAAATTTACCACAAAATGTTGGGTGAAAATTTCGAACAACAAATGGAGCAATTATATGCGGCCTTTTGTGTGGCTTTTCAGGGTGATGACTTTCAAATGGTAAGAATCATAGATAATTTGAATTTTGCCTTAGAATATTAATTTATTTTATTTACAGTTCACAACCCCCGAAGCTTTCAAAACTCTAATGGGTTTGGTAGGTACAAACAGTCAAGGTGTAGCCACAAGTGTCTTAGCAGAATGGGTAAAAAAGGTATCCGATTTACCTATGCCCGAAGAGGATAAAGCCAAATTGGATGAATATATTGATGATCTTTACAATAAAGTATCAGAATGTAAGTGCGACAAGTATTCCCCATTAAATGGCTTTTAATATAACATTAACTTTTTATCGTTCATCTAGTCGCTGGCGAATTCTTAAACAATGAAGGCTCTGGACTTTATCTATTACAAAGTAAAATAAATCATAGTTGTGTACCCAATGCTCAATCAACATTTCCCTATTCCAATGATATTGTGGTAATGAAGGCCACCCGGGATATACAGCCCGGCGAGGAAATATGTATTTCATATTTAGATGAATGTCAGCTGGAGAGAAGTAGACATTCCCGGCAAAAGGTGGGTAGCAAAGGCACGATTACAAATATCTAAATAATTGCCAATATTCATTTTCATTTAGATTCTCAAAGAAAATTACATTTTTGTGTGCAACTGTCCCAAATGTCAATTGCAAAGCAATGATCCCGACGAGACCAGTGAAGATGAAGACGAAGATGATATGGACATGGAAGATGATTACGATGATATGGATGACTAAATAATTTTGTTAGCCAAATTGTGGGTACTTTTGATTTCGATTTCCTAAAGTGTATTTTATTTTTGTTCATATATATACACTAACAAAAATACATTTGTTTTAATATATGATATATAGATATATATATTTTTATATAACAACTGTAATAAAAACCAAAACATTAACTATCCATACAAACTATTACACATTTTTATTTCTTTTTTACAATATTACCCTTAATTGCAAGTCGAGTGCAGCGAGCTTAACTGGTAGCAACAGGTGTCAAATTTATCAATTTATTACTACTCTCGGCCAATTCTTGTATCGAAACTCTACCTCTTTGCCTAATGAATTTGGCCACCGATTCAAGTTCTTCCTCGGAGATATAAATGAACTTACCACGATCGTCAATGACACCAGTTATGGTGCCATTTGCCTGTAATTCTTGTATGCGTTCAATAGTCTGTTGGGTCTTCAGTTTGAATTCTGTAGCTAGATCTTCTAAAACCACAACTTTGTTGTCTTTAATGTATTTAATGAAATCGGCCAGTAGATTTTCCTTTTCCTCATCGTCTTCTTCGAAACCTTCCTCTTCCACACTAAAGGCTGCCTTCATTTTCAGATATTCTTCATGTTCACGACGTTCCTGCTCTTCGCGGGCCAAACGTTCAGCTTCTTCTTTTTTACGTTCCAATTCGGCTTCTTGTTCCTCCAGCTTTTTACGTTCCTCTTCCAATTTGGCATCCTTGGCCTTCTTCTCTTCACGCATTTTCATTTCTTGTTCACGCATCTGACGCTTAGCCTCCTTGGCTTCCATTTTTGCACGTTTCTTTGCGCCCATCTTTTCATCCAAAACAGCACCTTGGGGAATTTCTCCTTGGTCATTGTCATCATCGCTGTCATTGTTTTGAGCTCCAGCATTGTCTTGGGCAGCAGCAGGTGCGGCTGCATTTTGTCGCAAACGATTACGTTGATTGCGTACAATTTGTGCCCTCCTGGGTACACCTTCCTGGGCTCGTTGTGGTACACCACGTTGTTGTTGTTGCTGTGGTTTTGCTTCTCCTAGAAAACCATGACAAAATTAAGAAATAGCTAAGTTGGCAATAACATTGTTGTTGTTATTGCTGTATTCACAACAAACCACCTACCTTGAGGTTGCCTTTTCTTTTGCAAATATAGCAGAGTCAGGAGTATAACAAACACTGCCGTAGCACAGCCAATTAAAAATGTCAGTGACATATTGGAAAATTAAACTATTTTAAGTAGTTATTATTAAAATAAATAACTTGTTCAAGTGGTTCACTACTACAGTATCCTATCGACCAATATGTCAAATACGTCAACAAAATATGTTTTGACAGCAGCAGCTGCATATATCACAGGGCAATTCAAAGTGAATTTTAAACACAGGGTAATTCAAAGTAAATTACTCTTTGGTATATGCAGCTGCTGCTACCTAATTACAGTTCTTCTTTATATTTCTCCTATCAAATATTACAACAATACTCACATATGGACAGAACAGGGAAGAAACAATTTTTTATGCTTTATTATTATTACAACTATTGGTATGTTCCTGTTCTGCACGACTAGTTTTTATGCCGTTTTAAGCTCCACAATAAAAAAAAAAATAAAACCACTGGGTGGTTCACCAAATTCAGTTAAATATAAGTGTACTAAAACATTCATATAAAACGATGTATTTAATTTTTGAGTTGAATCCTACGCGTACGCTTGCATTTAGGTACGTGCCTCATACATACAAACGACGTTGTCATATATCTTTGACAATTCTTCTTCTTCTTCTAGAATTGTATTTTTTCATGACGTGTCGAGTAAAATTGTTTTAGAAAAATACCGAAATTTACAAATAATACAACGATAAAATGTTTAAACAATTTATAGCCTTGTTGTTGCTAATTAGCGCTTGTAATAGCGTATTTGGTTTATACTTCCACATTGCCGAAACAGAACGTAAATGCTTCATCGAAGAGGTACCCGATGAGACCACTGTCATAGGTAATTATTCCAGAAATAGCAACGAAGACATAATTCAATAATCTAATACTATCTCGAATTTCTACTTACAGTCAATTACAAAGTGGAGCTGTATGATCCCCGTTCCAATGGTTTTATGCCCTCATCGCCTGGTATTGGCATGCATGTCGAAGTACGCGACAGCGATGACAAAATTATTTTATCTCGTGTCTACAGTTCAGAAGGCCGCATCTCTTTCACATCCCACACACCCGGTGAACATGTCATCTGTATGTACTCGAACAGTACATCATGGTTCAGTGGTGCCCAGCTACGTGTCCATTTGGACATTCAAGTTGGTGAACATGCCATCGATTATGCCAGCGTAGCACAAAAAGAAAAGCTAACCGAATTGCAGTTGCGTATCCGCCAGCTGTTGGATCAAGTTGACCAAATCACAAAGGAACAGAATTATCAACGTTATCGTGAAGAACGTTTCCGTCAGACAAGTGAAAGTACCAACTCGCGTGTGTTGTGGTGGTCTGTTGCCCAAACTGTTGTCCTTGTCTGTATGGGCTTCTGGCAAATGAGACATTTGAAGAGTTTCTTTGAGGCCAAGAAATTGGTGTAAAATTTCTTCTGTAGAGACAGATATGTTTGTAAGGTTATTTCATTTTTGTTTGGGGTTTCGATTAAATTATTTCTAAAGAGACAAACAAACAATACCACCACCCCCTTCCTTGTTCTCATTTGTAACGTCTTCTCAGTTGAATGAACCTTTGTTCAATTATGGATATCCAATCTCCAGGTACTAATGTTTCAATAACATTTTATTTTCTTCATTCCCTCATAAGCGTGCATCACGAAAACGATTTAATTTCATTAAAGTATGTCATCAGTATAATAAATTTATGATTTATGAAATGAGAGAGAATACCCTATTGCAAATATTTTAGTTTAAATAAATGATTTTTTAAAATATACACAAAAGTGATGTTGTTATTTTATTTTTGATGTAAGGGTTTATAGATTTTATTTAAAGATTTTTACCGAAATAATTTAATGGATCTTTGTAGTACTGTTAGTTAAAAAAAATTATTCAATTTTACATATAACCCAACGTGACGACGACCAAGGATAAAATATATACGATATTTAACACTACGTTTACGCTTTTGATCGTAATTAGGTATATACATAGAATATATATAAAAATTCAATGCGAACAGAGCAGAATCCGTCATATACATTGGGTTTACTTTGTGGCTATAACAACATATTACCAGTACAGACGTTATGGCAGTATTTCCTTATTGCAGCACCAGTTACAATTTAGGTTCTCAACAGTCTCCCCCTCTTTTTAGTTTTTCGAACAATGGTCAGTCAATGTATGCATGTTTAAGACGATTTGCTTTGACCAGAGGCTACCACCATTTAATAAATAAATACAGGAAAATTCATTTTCTTTATTATTCATTGGGATGTCAACTGTAATCATGAAGGCATTACCGCATGTCATGTGACTTTGGATCAATGATGTTCATGTCCTTATCAGCAAACACACCAAGAAAACTTTACCAGACGGCACAAAAAGATGATTTATTTATTTACATGTATTTGATTATCTTTCCAGTCACATGTCAATGCAAGGCAAACAAGAAAAAGCCGGGTTCGGAAAGAAATATTAAAAAAAAGAAAAATATTTAATAACAATTGATAGCTAGGAATACCTATAAATGTGATATATTTGTTGTGGGTAATTTTGAGAAAATATGGATATTCCAAAATATCGGTTTTAATATCATTTGGAATATCCACTTCAGTTCGATTATAATTAAGCCAATCGGCAAACTAAATCTGTAAAATAATCTAACCCATATAATGGTACCCCCAATTTTCGGTTTTATAATCTTTTAATATAATCTCTATAATAATATTAAAAAAATCCCTACTTATGGATCCGTTAGGTCCTGAATAATTTTTTTTTTAAAAAATATGTACCTATAGTTCTCTTTGGATACAATCACACCAGGGTGGTGTAGTCTACTTTTGCAGATTTTTCGAAAACTAGCAGAAAATTTTCCCATTCAGTCGAAGGTAAACACAAAAGAAAGGTTATCTCATAATGGAAATATTTTTCGTATCACGTTTGTAATAAAAATAAGAATGAAATAAAGAAGATCTTGGAATATTTTGAGTTGATTACATTTTTACAGCAAATTATTTCAATAACGTACAAATTTCCCATCTGTCAAGGACATGCGTTCACATTTCCTGACACACATATTTTGAAAACTATATTATTTGTGAATGTGAATCTCTCTATAACCCAGATAAGGCCAGCGATTTTTCCTTTAAAATAACCGTGGCGCCAAATTAGATAATACATGTTATTTTTTCTCCAATTTTCAAATCTTAAAAAATATTTTATATTACTCAATAACAAAAACACTTTCGCTATATGCCTCAATATGACCGCCTAATAAACACTTCTAAAATGACAAAATGCTTGACATTTGTGGTAAATTATTAACAACAAAATAGCATTTCTTTATTCCAGAAATAAAATACTACAATCAATGACAATTTTCACCTATACATATTACAAACCCCTTACTTTTATCTACCTTTACAAAAAAAAAAAAAAAAAAAAAACAGAAAACATTTTATCTTAGAATTATTTTTTTTTTTTTTTTGTAATTGGATTACCTGGTCACAGTTGTGGTGCTCAAACATACAAACACATGTGCTTGCTAAAATGTATGTCTGTATGTATGTATGTATATTTGCATAACATATTTTCTTTAACTTTGTTAAATAAATAAATTCTTACAGAGATGCAAGCTCAGACAATAGAGCTACATGCAAATACAAATTCGTATCAACAAAAATGAAAGTAATGCGAATATGAGACATCAAACGAGTAAAGACCACGAGCGAGATAACTTCAAATAACACAGATAACACACCGAACAGTAATCGTGGGAATAATGAGAGTAGCTAAGGGATCGTATAAACGGTTTTGTAAAAGCTATGAATTGAGTATGCATTTCTCATATGAGGGGTGTTGGGAAATTGTGGTAGGACTTCAAGTTGCATCTATAGGCTTTTAATTGTATTTATGTAGGTAGTGTTCAATTTATCATTTTTGGGAAGAAGTTTTTTATTCACCAGGAATCAGGGACGCCAAATTATAGCCATTTCGAAATTGAAAATATGGTTAAGCCTTCAAAATCCTGAAAATGGGACCCTATGTGGTGGATTATATCCAAGATTTTTACAAATAAGATTTTCGTCTTCCAAGAGCCTTAAATGTTGGGTGTTTAAAAAAATATTCTTTAACAATCTACATTTCTGTTGGGTGTTGAAAAAACATTCTTAATTAAATCTACGTCTCTGGTGGAAAAAATATTCTGGTTTTTGAAAAAATATTTTAAAACAAATTCTTAAGAAAATCTACGATTCGATTATGCTTTGAGATTTGAGAAGTTCTAAAAATAATTTCTTTAAAAAATTTACACTTCTGTTGGGTGCTGAAAATACTTTCTTCAAAAAAATCCACTCTTGGTGGGTTAAAAAAGGTATTCTTAAAAAATTCACTTATTTTATTTTATTTATTTTTATTTTATTTAATTATTCAGTAATACAAAAGCCTTCATGGCCAAAAAATATATTACACAGTTAATAAACCTGAAATAAATTTAACATTTTCCTATTGTTGGCTCCCCAGCCTTTATTTACATTCAACAATTTTTCAAACAGATATACAATATAAAAATTAATTAATTGGCAAAAACATTACCCAATGTTACATATAGATGCTTCGGACTAAAAACAGTAATTTAAGCAATTTTTCGTTATTGGCTAATATTAAATAATACTACGAAGACAAGTACATTCTAAGTTTTAAACGGAATGCATTGTTCGAGTGTGAGAATATGCGCAATTCTATAGGTAAATAGTTCCAGCATCGAGCAACCCGAACAACAAAACATCTTTCGAAACACTGATTATGTATATGTGGTATTATTAACTGGGTATTTCTACTCGAGTGAGAGAAAGTACAAAAATATGTGGTCTTTAAAAATTAATATCAACATTTGATCAATTGATAATTTAAAATTTGAAAAAAAAAATATTCAGATTTGTTTCCTTAAAACAAAATTTATTAACTTGCCTTATTTTCCCCCCAACTGTTACATTCTAACATATTTCTCAAAATGAACGACGAATGAAAGTCGCCAACATCCGAGTCAGAACCGAGAAGAGATACTAACAGATTATCTGGTCAGGCAGGCAGGCAGTACGACAAAATCAGTGAAAAGTAAAAAACCATCAAATTAGTAGGGCGCGAGTGCTGGAGCCATACACAAAAAGATGCGGTGCAATAACAGCGGGACAAAAAGAAACGAACGCTTTGATTTGAATTGAAAAACAATAAATACGATTGTTTTATATACAAAGAATATAAAAAACTATTAACATATAAAAGAATCACATCATAAACGGAAAAGAATTTATGAAAAGTGTTTTCCATTCCTTGAAAAAAATTCTAATAAAAATATACTATAGTAAAAATTAAAAACATTTTGAAATTGGATACCAAATAGTAAAATAAAAACAACAACAATTGTGGGGGCAACCAAGCATTAAAAGCAAATCACCATTATTACATTTGTGGTTGACAGCATTTGCTTTATAACATTTAGACAAGTGGTTATATTTCGAATAGAATTGAAAAAACCCATACGGAAGGTCTATCCGTCTAAACATTGTACGTGTATGTGTGTTTGTTTTATTTACTTTACGTCCAAATAAAACATTTTATTTGTTTCGTCGTTTTTGGAGACAACTATAATGTTTCGGGCCTCCCAATTGGCAAGTGAGGAGAGTAAGTAGTAGAGTGTTGACCCAGAAATGATAACAGAACAAAATCTGTTTTATTTTGATAATCATCACAGATAAGACAAAATGAAAATTTAAATATTTATAATTATTTTCCTTATATTGTCTGTATGTTTTCGTTTTATCTTCGTCTATCATCTATTGCTTAAAAAAAAAAAAAAAAAAAAAAAACGTTAAGCTTTGCCTGCTTTGGGTTTGCTAACAATAAAAGATGACAATGAACCTGATATAACATCACAGCTAAATTTGAAAACCGGAAAACTTAAACCCGGCGGTTATGGCCTTGTCACAGTGTTACGCTCACACCGGCGACCCAAATATCCAATTGCCATTGTATTTATCTTGATGACCAAATTGTTTGAGGCCTTTGCTGCAAATGGTATTCGAAGTAAGTAATTAATTATGCAAAAATATATTATAGATTTGGTATTTTAGAAAATAGTATTAAAAAATCTACGCTTTCTTGACCGTTTAACATTTGTCTATAAAAATCTGCCCTCAATTGTTTAAAAAATGTACGCTCTTTTGGTTCTTTAGAAAATATTCTTTCAAAAATCTATGCTTTTTTGGTCCTTTATAACATTTTCTTTAAAAAATCTACGCTCTTGTTGTCCTTTAGAAAATAGTCTTTAAATATACGGCCTCTTGGTCCTTTATAAAATGTTCTTTAAAAAATCTACGCTCTTTTGAACCCTTCAAAAAATATTTCTCAAAAAATCTACGAACTTGGGCCTTTAAAAAATATTCTTCAAAAAATCTACGACCTTTTGGTCCTTTTAAAAATATTTTTAAAAAAATCTTAGAGCTTTTGGTCTTTTAAAAAATGTTCCTCAAAAAATCTACGCTCGTTTGGTGCTTTAAAAAAATCTACGCATACGCTCTTTTGAAAAATATTCTTTTAAAAATCTACTATCTTTTGGTCCTTTAGAAAATTTTTCTTAACAAATCTACGCTCTTTTGGTCCTTTAGAAAATAGTCTTTAAAAATCTACGCGTTTTTTTGGTACTTAAAAAATATTGGTATTTTAAAAAATATTATTAAAAAAATCTACAATCTTTTATATAAAATAACATATTTGTTAAAAAATCTACGCTCGTTTGACCTATTAGACATCGATGTCAATGAAATTGCTATTGGCTCCCCCAATTGTGTCACCAAGATCTTTTGGATCATTTTAAAGCTGAAGCATGGCTAAAATTGTGGTAGGAAATTAAGAACAAAGAAGCTAACAATTACATTGCAATTATTATCATTTCCCTTTATTTTACTATGTACTACATTTTACACTTCCCAGAAAACTATAACAAACAACCTCTTTAAAATCGAAATTCTACAAAATCAAATTAGCAGACATTCTGACGTCACATGTCTATTTGCAATGTTTTTGCATTGATCGATACCATGAACATTATCAGTTGCTCTTGTTGTTGTTTTTTTTTTAAGACAAACATGTATCATGCATTTTGAACTGTAGATCATCTGGGGAAATGAAAAAAATAATAGTTGTAAAAGATGTTCCTTTTTAAAATAAATATTTAAAAATAAAAACATTACCTACTAACTCGTGCATATCCAAGACCTACTTACAATTATCTCACTCAAACCCAAAACAACAATTATTAAAGTATAGGTAATATATTTCCAGATCGCATGAGAAAATTGACTGGGACGCATATTACCTTATCTGTGTAATTTGCAACAATTCATCTTTATAATATTTGCATTATAGGTCAACAAATAAAGGAATAATTTTTCTGGAACAAAATATTATCAGTTTGCTGATGATGAATTATATTTTTGTTTCATAAAATTGTAAAATCCAAAAATCTACTTTATAAGAAGTTCACTGACATTTTTTTACGAAATTTGTTTATAATTTGCATATTTGTTTATTTTTTCTGTTTTGTTTTCAGCAATATTGGCATTGTATTTGCGCGATGATTTATACTTCAGCGAAAGTCTGTCCACCGTACTACTGCATGTCTTTAATTTCTTTGGCCAATTTTGTCCCATCTTTGGAGCTATACTTGCGGATAGTTATATTGGTAATATAAGGACTATAAATGGATTTTATATCATTTATGCCTTTGGTTGGATTCTGTTGGTGTTTACATCACTGCCATATGCTGGAGTTTCATTGATGTAAGTATATATTTATTTTTATTTATTTACTCAATACAAATAATGATATGACATATAGCGTATTTAATAATCTCGTCAGTAAATACTTCCCTAAGTTGGTCTATACACAGCCAAAAATTTTTGCAAGTGCTCAATACCAGATTTTTTTCGGAATTGTCTAAAGTTTTTTTCCCGATATATTCCGAGTAATCTGCAAATACTGTGGAGGGAAATTTAATAGTGTTTATTTAAAAAACACAGAAACATTTCAGAAGAGAGTTGACTATATATTTTCAATATTGTCTACTGTTTCTCCGATCAATTTTCGAGTCATCGGCACATACTCCAAAAGGAAAATTGAAAAAAAAAGAAATTTGATTTTTGGCAGTCTAATACCATAGACAGACGACGGCCTTAATTTGCATTAAAAAGTTCTTAATTTGAATTAATATTTACCCCTGACAGACGAGAGTTTCTGCATTTACGAAACAGTTTTTTGCTTCAAAACAATTGTTTGTCTGTGTGTAGGATGACATTTTTTTACACTTGCTCCGATATTTTTCGGGATTTCATCTTTAGGAAATTGATACATGACATAAAGGAGGAATAGCAACTATGATTTTAGCAAAACAGCTCCCAATTTACAAAATGGTTAAAATTTGCCTTCATTTCTTATTTTTATTTTCAGAAATACAAATAAATTTGACAAGAAACAATTAATTTTCGACAGCATTGCCATATTGAAATTGCCTAATTCAGTATAAATTCAGTTTGATTTTGTGCATTAACAACACCTAAAAATGAGGATAATGTACAAGTTAATTTGAATTAAGGCTGTTAATGCAAATTAAGGCTGTCGTCTGTCTAGGCTATAAGGGACTATAAACACCGATAATATTCCGATTTTTAGAATTTCCGAAAAATTATCCCAAAACGCTCCTATTTTCGAATATTCCTTCAGAGTTTTGTCCAAATTTGTACAGAAAATCGAAATTCCTTTTAAAATGTCCCTTTATTTCACCCGAGTTCCTTTACGAATACTCAAATGTTCATTCCGATTTTTTTTTTCGACAAAACTTTCCGAATTTGTGGGCACATCCACACAATTTTGTTCCTATTTCGGTACAAATTCGGCATTAGAATTGGAATAGTATCATTCCAAATTTGGAACAAATTGTTAGCTGGGTAAAGACTCCTTTAGGTCGTCTATAAGGGTTCTCTTCAGCTCGTCTATAAAGACTCTCTTCAGCTCGTCTATAAAGACACTCTTCAGCTCGTCTATAAAGACTCTCTTCAGCTCGTCTATAAAGACTCTCTTCAGCTCGTCTATAAAGACTCTCTTCAGCTCGTCTATAAAGACTCTCTTCAGCTCGTCTATAAAGACTCTCTTCAGCTCGTCTATAAAGACTCTCTTCAGCTCGTCTATAAATACTCTCTTCAGCTCGTCTAAAAAGACTCTCTTCAGCTCGTCTATAAAGACTCCCTTCAGCTTGTCTATTAAAACTCCCTGCTTCATCTCTTCTGTAAAGGCTCCCTGATTCAGCTCGTCTGTAAAGACTCACTGCTTAAGCTCGTCTGTAAAGACTCCCTGCTTCAGCTCGTATGTAAAGACTCCATTCAGCTCGTCTATAAAGACCCCCTTCAGTTCGTCCCTAAAGACTCACTTCAGGTCGTATAAAAATGCCCAATTTTTTAATCTCTCACACTTTTCTACCCTTTTTCTAGATTTTTAGTATCCGTCTCCTTGCTGCTGATAGCCATAGGAAATGGTTCGACTCGTGCATGTGTTACATCCTTGGGTGCTATACAATTTCAACTGCCCGATCAAGCTAAACAATTAGCCGAATATTTTTCTCTATACTATTTAATCTATTATATTGGAATATTTTTGAGTAAAATAATACCGCCAATGATACGAGCCAATACCTATTGCTATAATAAAAATGAATGTTATCCAGCGGTGTTTGGTACATTGGGTTCGTCGTTTTTTATGGCATGGAGTAAGTACTTAAAAAATATCAATTTTATATTATGAATATTGTTAATTCTCGATTCAGTAACATTTAGCTTGGGCAGATTGTATTATAAAAGCGAAAAGTTGGCCGAAGAGAGTATTTTAATAAAATTCTATGGCTGTATTAAGCATGCATTGCGTAAACGTTGGAATCGCAAAGCCGATGATAAGAAACCTTCATATTGGTTGCATTATGCCGTGGGACGTTACGAGGAATCATTTGTAAGCGACGTGGCTAAAGTATTGAAGGTAAGGAGAAGGAAAAATTAAAATTTGGAAAGGGAATCTAAATTAGTATTATTAAAGCAATATGTCGGCGAACTACTATTTACACTTCGTTACTATTTTCCAAATAATCACACAATTCTATATTATATTTAATTATTTTTAAAACGTACCCGGCTTTCATATCATTCCAGCTAGTCAAACTATTTCTTCCACTGCCAATTTACTTTGCATTATTGGCTCAACAAGATTCCAGTTGGACATTTCAAGCATCGCTGATGAACACCACCATTGTTGATGGTCTAACAATTCAGCCCGACCAAGCCAAAGCAATGGGACCAATATTTCTCTTCATTTTAATACCCCTGTGGCAATATGTTGTACGACCTTTACTGAAATTTCTATTTAAATATGAATTGAAACCATTGCACAGTGTTACGGTAGGTGGAGTATTTTCAGCGCTCTCATTTATATCAGCCGGTATTTTACAACGTTATATATTTGTGAGTATGTTTAAGGTCTACAATTAAATATTTATTAACCGAATGATTTCTTATTTTGTTTTTCTATAGTCAATGCCCTATAAATCGGTAAATGTTATGTGGCAAGTACCCCAGTTTATTTGCATAATGTTGGGAGAGCTGTTGTTATCTATACCGGGATTGCAGTTTGCTTTTACACAGGTTAGTTGATTATTTAATAATAAAAGGTGTTACTGATTACTATAAAGATTTTTTTCTTTCTCCCATATGTAAAGACTCCCTTCAGTTCGCCTATAAAGACTCCCTTCAGCTCGCCTATAAAAACTCCCTTCAGCTCGTCTATAAAGACTCTCTTCAGCTCGTCTATAAGGACTCTCTTCAGCTCGTCTATAAAGACTCTCTTCAGCTCGTCTATAAAGACTCCCTTCAGCTCGTCTATAAAGACTCTCTTCAGCTCGTCTATAAAGACTCTCTTCAGCTCGTCTATAAAGACTCCCTTCAGCTCGTCTATAAAGACTCCCCTCAGCTCGTCTATAAAGACTCCATTCAGCTCGTCTATAAAGACTCCCTTCAGCTCGTCTATAAAGACTCCCTTCAGCTCGTCTATAAAGACTTCCTTCAGCTCGTCTATAAAGACTTCCTTCATCTCGTCTATAAAGACTTCCTTCAGCTCGTCTCCCTTCAGTTATCTCTTCTATAAAGAATCTCTTTAGCTATTCTATAAAGACTCCCTTTAGCTTATCTCAATAATTAAAAATTAACATTTCCTCTTTCTAGGCCCCCGCCTCAATGAAATCCGTTGTGACCGCAGCATGGTTCCTCAACAATGCATTTGGTAATTTAATTGTTGTCATTATTACCGAACTGCATATGTTTCGGACGCAAAGTGATGAATTTTTCTTCTATGCTGTCATGATGGTGGTATCAATTGTCCTCTACACCTATCTCGCCTATGATTATGAACTACGACAATATGAACAAAGTGATTATCAAGTGTCAATGGAAGTTGTTGTTGCTGCAGAGAAAATACCTCTCATAAATGGAAAACAACAAACCCGAGAAATGGTACAAAGTGATGATACACCCAGCACAAGTAAAAGTACACTTATTAAATTATAATTAAAAAAAACAGGTATTATAAGTTAGGTGTTTTATAATAACATAAAAAATATATATTTGTGTTTTTATTTAATTTATTGTAGATAGATATTTCTTTAATAAAATATATATTATATACTAAAATTTGTTTTCTATGGTGGGCGTAGTTCGTTGGATGTGTTGTTTTGGTTTATAATTTAGCTAAGTATTTTAAAAAGATATTGCAGCTCCAAAACTGTATCGTCTGGTAAATCGGTACAGTGCACGGCATTTAAAGTTTTACTGGAACCAAATTTCGCTCGAAGTGTATGAGGTCTGAGTAACTTGGCAATTTCCTAGAAAAATATAGAGTCAATAAAAATAAATTAATAATATAATTGAAATATAAAATGTACTTACCGGATCCATTGGTCCACAAAATTTACGAAATTCTTCATAACTGCATTTGCTGGTATCATTACACATAATCTCTAATGCCACACAAGTTCCACTTGCCAATTGAGATACCATTGGCTATTTTTTTAAAAAAATATAGATTATTTTATGTTTAGAAAGTTATCGATTATTTTTTAAATAAAAGAAACTATTTTCTGAAAACACTCCAGTATAAATGGAAGATCTGAGAAACTTTTTGGTATCAAAAGAAGATTTAAAAAAATTGAGAGAGGTCCTCAACAATCAGGGGTAATCAGTGCGTCTACATGTTCATGAAAGATGACCTTCATACTCGGTTATAAAAAGTCCCTTCAGCTAGTCTATTAAGATTCCCTATCACTACTCTATAAATACTGTTTTTATTTATTTTATAAGGACTACCATCAACTCCGGCTCTCAGTTTGAGAAAATCCTACATTTAGTTAAACAGTTTAAACAAAAAGTCATTCCGAACGTGTAATAAAGTTTAACCTGTTTCATAGTACTTACAATATAATCCGGCAAAACACCTCTATAGACTTCATAAAATTCCGCACAATTTACCCGTTCCAAAAGATGCATTTTCAGTGCAGTTATTTTAAAATTATTCGCAGTCATTTCCGTAATAATTTTACCCAAATTTCCTTCCTTAATGGCATGAGGTTTTATAATACACAATGTGGAATTATTCAATTGTACTGTATTCTGTAGATCGAAATCGTTTTCGAAAAAGAAATGTGTATCCTGAAAGAAAAAAACAATTAATTAAAAACAAAACTGATTTCAAACTGCGTTCTCTTACCCGAACAACTTCTTCATCGGATTGAGAACAATATATTCCATTACGCATATCCTCTCTATCGAATAGCGAGCGTAATGAACGTGGTATATTTTCGTTCATGCATTCCCTAGTCTGTTGTTGGCAATTTTTTATTTTCTCCACAGCATTGTCGGCAATTAATTCCAGGCCTATGGCGGGACCAGACAATAATTGGCTCATGAGGATACTGAAATATATAAAATATACAAATATATTATTTAACATCTAGGATAACAACAAATATAGGAACACTTACGACGACTGCACATCATCCTTGCCCTTCAAGAATGCCTTGATCTGATCCGCTGTAAATTGTACCATCATGGCCTTACTAATATTGAAATCACTTTCAATTAATGAACACAATATTCTGCCCAAATGTTGCACCACACTATTCTTGAGTATGATAAAAGTTCTAAAAAAAAAAATATTTAAAAAATCTAATTTATTATATCCAAATTAAATTCATTTGATATATTTTACCTTTTACGATATTTGGCCAAAATATTTTTCGTAGCCTCATCCGCATAATCCACAATATCAAATTGTCGTCCGAATATATTAATTTTCGAGCCAACAAAGAAGTCTTTCTCTGTTAGTTCAGGCATTTTGGTTCGACGTAAAAACATTTTCTTTGTCTTTGGGTCATACTGTAAAAAAATAAATTATATTTTTAAATCTGCAAAACAGTATTAATAACTGTTGACTTACCACTTCCAATGCATTGCCATCGACATAATACCATAGTGTGAAGGTTTTATTTATGGCAGCCTCTTCCTGATACCATTCGGCGACAAATGCCAAGCGACGAGACTGCATGAAAAAGGTACATATTGGTAAGTTTTAAAATATATAAATGAGAGATTTTAAAAATGAAATAATTAACTCTTTAGGAAAACGTAATAACCATTTATAACCATTCATATATGTACAAAATGTAGGTTTAAGGTGTCATTCCTCTCAACTAATTAAAAATATACAAATTACTATAGGCAGCTAAGGGTTTAAATGCTATTCATGTTTACTTTATTAGTGGGAACATTATCCGGCAATAAAAACAGGGAAATATCCTTCCGTAGTTAAGGTGGTAAATTTAAGGTCTCTATTTTCGATCATTGGACTACCATTTATTCGAACCTTAATTTTTATAGTGTTAGGCTACCTCTTCACTCTCAAAAGAGATTACATTTTTTAAATTATTTTCAATAAAATATATATTAAAAATTCTTACCATTCTCTGTGAAAATTTATTTTACTGTTGACAAGAAACATCGACCGGCAAAATCAAATTTATATGACAGGTTGTTATGGTAACTGTATTGCCAATACTAACAAATGGTTACTACGAAAGTATTTTCAACCGATTAGACAAACGTAAATGCAAGGTAAACAGAACGTAATATTGAATATTACAATAGTGGGGAAAAGAAAAATTACTACAAAGACGACAAATTGACTAGTGTCGTTATTGGCAAGCTGAAGCACGGTGTCTTTATAGACGAGCTGTAGGGAGCCTTTATCGCCAAGCTGTAGGGAGTCTTTATAGACGAGCTGTAGGGAGTCATTATAGACGAGCTGTAGGGAGCCTTTATCGCCAAGCTGTAGGGAGTCTTTATAGACGAGCTGTAGGGAATCTTTATAGACGAGCTGTAGGGAGTCTTTATAGACGAGCTGTAGGGAGTCATTATATACGAGATGTAGGTAACCTTTATCGCCTAGCTGTAGGGAGCCTTTATCGCCGAGCTGTAGGGAGTCTTTATAGACGAGCTGTAGGGAATCTTTATAGACGAGCTGTAGGGAGTCTTTATAACGAGCTGTAGGGAGTCTTTATAAACGAGCTGTAGAGAGTCTTTATAGACGAGCTGTAGGTAGTCTTTATAGATGGTCCGAAGGAGTATTTTTGGACGAGCAGAACCAGGTAATCATTATAGACGAGCCGAATTAGGGAGCCATTATAGACAAGCTGATGCAGGTAATCATTACAGACGAACTGAAACTGTGTGTCTTTATAGACGATCTGAGAGTCTTTATAGACCAGCTGAAGCAAGGGTTATTTTTATGAATTGAAACAGCGACTATATATAGGAAAGACGGCGTTTTTTGAAGACACAATGAAGTCCAAGATGTGTTTCTTGGCTATCTAAAAGTCAATGAGTCTTTATCGGCTGAAGGAATATGGAAGTTGTTGTAGAATAACGGTATAGAGTCTATGTAGACCAGCGGAAGGGAACTGTCTTTATAGATGAGCCGACGACTTTCTATAGACGAGCTAAGGTAGGGTTTCGTTGTCGAGTGTTTAGGCAGGGATTATTTATTTACAAAAGATCTGAAGCAGGTAGTGTGTTTTATAGAAAAGCCGGAGGCTTCAGAAACGTCCACAGGCGTGTATAAACAAGGATACGATCTCAAGCAGGATATCCTTACAGTCGTACGGAATCTGAGTTTGAGTCTTCCAAAAATAAGTTCAATCAGAAGAGCGATATTCATATCAATCGTGCATCGTTTACTCGAAAATCACGTTTTTTGAGTAGCTTCTATAACTCCTATAGACAGAAGATCTTCCATAGGTTTTCTATTGATTGAAGTTGTAAGAGTACTTTTAGATTCTGAGGACTTACCGGATGTCCACTCTAGACAGACGAGTTTTCAGAGTCCTTTATACACAGAAGAGGTTCAAGAATCTTTCGGTAAAATGATAAAGTTCTAAAATTCGAATATATACAGCTTCTGGAATTCCTATAGACCGAAGACCTTTAATGAACGTAAGGCTTCGTAACAGATATCTCATATTTAGAAAACTTCAGGGGACATTGCATTCTATAGTTAGATGTCCTCTCTAGAAAATTTATATTCCTAAGTCCATGAATAAGGGCAAAATATCTATATTTATAGGACTTTCCAATAGACATAAGTACATATAGGGGTATACTATATAGAGGTCTTCTGGAGTTCTTCCACAGATAGGATTATTAGATGTCTTCTATTTATATTGTCCATAGTTGCAAATATCTTCTATAGACAGAATAACATCCACAGAACTTCTACAAAGATAATACCTTCTTCTCTCCACATTTGTCTATAAACTGAAGGCCTTTATGAGTCTGTCTTCTGACAGAAGAGCTTTTATACACATACAAAGAACACCCTAAAGTTTTTAATGGAAGAACACCTTGCCTGTATACAGAAGTTCTTCTTAGGTTAGAATACCTTCCAAAGATCAAATATTTTTCTATACAAAGAAATCCTTGCATATGTACTATATATACTGAAGAAATTTCTAGATAAAAGACCTTTATACACATTTAAGTATACTCTATCGGTTGGCAACCTTGTATAGGTATTCTATGGGCAGTATATGTATTTTCAAAGGTCTTCTATAGTTGGAATCCTTCCAATGGACTTCTCCAGTTAGAATTCCCACCAAAGATCTTCTATATTTAGAACACCTTTTACATGTAGTATTTGAAAGAGTTTTTTTAGAAGGAATTTTTTGAAACGTCTTTTATCAACAGAAGAATTGTCAGTCTTCAATATATCTACGTCAATTAACCAAATTGTTTCTAAACAATTACAACAAATAACCATAATGAATGCATTGTATTATGTTATTTAACATTTCTCATTTTTTATTTTATTGATGAAATTTTCCATTATTAAAACACTTATGTTTTAATCGATTTATTTTCTTTCTTTTTATACTTAACAGTGAAGGCTCATATATTCTCTGTTCTGTTAAATCATCATATCGTTTTTACTACTATTATTCTCCGAACCAAAACGAAATGTTATTTGGCGGCAATTTAAAAAGAAAATGTATTCCTTTATTTACAGGAAATGCACATAAAATTTTAAACGGAATCAAAGTTCTATGAAAAGAAACAAAATGAAAAAAGAGCAACGTTTTTAAAAATATTTGAAATTAAGTAACTAGAAATGAAACTAAGTGGGAAAATGAAAGGAATATACCGAAATCGGTATGAAATGACAATGAAACAAAACTACAATGAATTGTACAAGAATTTTGCAAAAATGATGTAATGATTGTTGTGTTTGGTTTTTTGTTGTTGTTAATTTTATATGTGGTGTTTTGTTTTTGCTGTTGTTCGAACAATGCTTAAGCATTTTATCTTAGTTACGAGATTAATTTTAAATATAAATATCTGGGTTTTTTCTGTTTTGTTTTAATTTATATTAAATATATATATAGAAGAGAGATTGGTATGTTTTTTTTCTTGTTTTTAAGAAATGTATGTGTATTTGTTCTTTTTTTATGTTTTGAGTTTATCTTTCTGTAGTCAACATATGTATGTGTATTTTGTATTTTTCCCGAATTGAAAAATTCCCGAAATAAATCAAAAAATTAATTTAAAAGCAATTAATGTTCATGCTATTAATATTAATAGAAGTTGTTGTTGTGGTTTTTTATGTATATATAAAGTGTTTAGATTATTAGGCGTTTAACATTCATTGTTGCTGTTAAACTATTTCTCTTCATCCTTCTTTTCCGCATCCTTATTGTCTTCGTCATCTTCGTCATTCTGTGATAGACTGGGAATATTATCGTCTGAGTCATCATCATCATCGACATTGAAGTCATCAAATCTGTTGGCCATATCACCGCCTTTAAGCATGTCATTGAACATAAAGTTGTCACCGCCAACATCTGAATTAAAAAAAGAAAAACATATTTATTAATATATTTTTTTAGGCATTGTAAGTAATTTTTGTCAAAACCCACCATCTTCATCATCAGATTCATTTTTCCATTTGGTAAAGTTAGCTTTGAGGAAGTGCAATTTGGTTTTGTCATTGGTTAGTGATTTCCAGTAGGGACCCGATTCTTTTTTGTAAATTGTAAATTCGACGCATCGGCCAATATTTTTACTCGTCACTTTTTCGGGATTAACGGGATGTAAAAAGTTCAATGTGACTTCGTATTTTTTATCGGTTTCCAAAGCATTGGTGCCCTTGAATGTAAAACTATTCTCCGTAACACTAAAAAAGAAAATTAAAAAAGGACACAAATTAGACATTTTGTAAAAAACGGATTTTTTTTAAATAAATTACCTGTGCTCAATGTCTTTGCATTCTACATCGATAATGACATAGAGCAAATCAGCTCTTTGGGCCCAAGAAACTGGTGGGGGTACTGTACTGTAATTGGAAAGAAAATAGAAGAATATTAATAATGTTTGAGAAATAATAAATTTATTTTCAGGGTTCTACATTAGGATTTTTTAAACAATATATAGGAAGAAGAATAGTAAATGTATGTTGCTAGGTTCCCATTCGTTGTAAAAATAAATTGAACTTGAAAATGCCGTATTTATAGGACCATATGCCCTCCTATGGTGAGATCCTAAATTAACGTCCATTAAAATATTCTTTAAAACCCTACGATCCTGATGGACCAAAAAATATCCTTAAAAAACTGACTATCCCGATGGCAATTTTTTTTTAATCTACTCTATGGATGGATCCAAATGTCAAAAATATTTTTAAGAAACATGTTAAAGATGGACCAACAATATGGCCCTTAAAATATTTTTGAAACACCTATGTCCTCCTACTATGGTTAGATCCTAAATAAACGTCCATTAAAATTTTCGTGATGGACCCAAAAATATTCTTTAAAAAATGACTCTCCGGATGACCAAACAATTTTTTTGATAAAAATCTACACTATGGATGGACTCAAAAAGCATTAAGAAACATACGTTTCGGATGGACCCGAAATTCGAATTCAGATGGTGCAAAAAATATTAAGAACATAATATTTGCTCGTCTACTAGGCGCAATCAGCTACAGATTCCCGTTGTACACCATCGCATGAATGATTCGTTTTTAGTTCGTGTAGCGCGGCTGTACAACGCTTTACCCATTGAATTAAAAAAAATCAGTATTACCCCGATCACATTTTATAAAAGGCTTGTTCATCACCTTGTATGATAATTTTTTTCCAAATTGCACATTTGTATGGCGAGTCTGGGCATGTCTGAATTGTCACTTTGTTGGAGTAGTTAATTCATATTGTTAACCCTAATGTATCATCATAAGCTGAAAGCTTTGTATACATGTTTTTGTTGAATAAAAATTAAAGACTCTGGATGACCCAAATAAAATATTTTTCTTTTAAATCTAGGCTCCGGATGACCCATGAAAAAGTAATATTTTAAAAATTTTTTTTAACCAGGATCCGGATGACCCAAGATAAAGTATTCTTTTAAAAATCCAGGCTTCAGACCCATAAAAAATTTTCTTTTAAAAATCCAGGCCTCAGACCTATAAAAAAATATTCTTTTAAAAATGCAGTCTCCGAATGACCCATAAACAATATTTTTTTTTTAAATCCAGTCTCCCGAATGACCCATGAAAGAGTATTCTTTTAAAAATCCAGTCTTCAGTTGTTCCATATATAATATTTTTTAAAAAATCCACGATTCATGTGGGTCATCACGAATATTCTTTAAAAAATTACTTCTTAAAATTCAAAAAGCAAATAAAAATACTTTTTGTTTAAAAATGTGCCCCCTAAAATACGTAAACAAACAAGTACTTTTTTAAATTATTTGATATCATCACCATGGCAACACTGAATAACAACAAAACCAAATAGCGGCACAACACCAAACAACCAAAAAAAGCAAAGAAGACACACTAATGAATAGCACACATCAAAATGGCATTCGAGAATATGCCAAATGACTCAAACATAACCTCAATTTAGTTAATTTATTTTGGATTTAATTTTTTTATTGTTGCTATCAATTGCAAGTGTTAAAAACAACAATAATTTAAGTAACAATTTTCTACTACAACTTAAAATAAATTAACACATTTTACTCCATAACAACAACGTGTATACTACACACAATCATTGTCTTTTGTCAGTAAAGAAGAAAAGTAACGAGAAAAAAAGAGCAAAATCAATAAAAAAGAAGCCGGGGGAAAAACACGCGTTCATTGTAACTACATAAGGAACCAAGAAAATAATGTCATTCCAAAGGTTTCCTTTATTAAAAACTCATGTAAAAAAGCATTATAATTTCATTTTAATTAATTCATCGACATCGACGAAGTGGTGTAGATTAACCGGACAACAAGCACAAAGTTTAGTAACCTACCGCCCTGATTAATTTTGTATGTGCATTTCCCAATCAATTACCCACCAACAGCCAACCAATCATACCTCATGCAGAGCCGAAATTGAAATTCACTTGTAAACTTGTTTTTAATTATTTTTTTTAATGTGGAAATACATACCCTGCAGTAGGAGCCATTTTTTATTATAAAATATTTATTTTTGGTTTTGTTCTTAAAGAATTTTCAACGTCTTGTTTTCCAAAAAACTAACAAAAAACTCCCTTTTTTGTTGAAATGAGTAGAATGAATTTTGCACCCCGACACAGTTAGTGTTACCAGTACTATGAAAATGTGTGGGACAGAGTTGCCAGTTAGTTTGTTTTCGGTAGAAGAAAATGACAATCAAAATGAAATGTGTTAAATGAGAAAATACAGGGTGCTTCATGTTTGCCTTGTAAAATATAAGAGACGAGGAAATGGTATTTATTTTGTGGTTATTATATAAAATAAGATTATTTATAGGTAAAAAAAAATTTATTGTCATGTTTAAAGGATAAAATAGGAGAATTTTCTGTTCACAACAAATGATTTTTTAGTAAAAGGTGTCATTTAAATTCCGGCTCACTAAAAAGGGCTAATAAAAAATTTAGAGTTTACATATGGCATTTTGTCTATGAATACAACTCTGATTTAATAATACACTTTAAATTGTCGTCTACAAAAAAATAGTTTTCAAGAAAAAAGAAGTCTTTTAAGCATAGAAGACCATGCGACGACCTTTCGAAAACAGAACATCTTAAGGAGGCTTCAATTTTTGAAAACATCGAGAGAAGGCATCGAGAAGGTCATTTGTCTACACAGAATAAGTTTTAGAAGGAAGGTTAAGTTTGCTTATAGTAGACATGGAGAACCCCTGTAGTATATAGAATATTTATAGAAGGCTCTAGAATTCTTCATCTTTGAAAGATTTTCAGGTCATAGTACACCGATGCACGGTTGCCTGTCAATAAAATACATTTTAATGTGTGTATTTTTGGAAGGTCTTTGTAGAAGCTTCTCTGTCAGAAGACGAACTCTGAAAGGCCTTCAGTTTATAGACAACTATGGAAGGTATTCTCTGTGTAGAAGATCTGTGGAAGTTATTCTGTCTATAGAAAACATTTGGAACTATGGATATTGTAGATAGAAGACGTAGACAAATTCTGTCTCTGAAGGAACTCTAGATGACCTTCATTCCATTCTTCTTCATTCTTCTTTGAAAGTCTTCTGTCCATAAAACACCTATGCATTTGTTGACCTTCTCCGAATTTCAAACCTGATGGCGGTACCGAGACTGATGAAATCTCTTATTACCTCAAAGCTGAAGTTATAAAGTTCCACAGTTGGTCCGATTCTACTGGACGTATTGCGCGTTGATACCGTCAGCTTGGTCTTCGCGCCATTTACAGTCAGGTCCACTTTGTTCAAAATCGGCTGTTACCGCTCGCAATGTTCTACTCATTATGTCGATGTCATCGGCGTGCCATATCTATTTATCTTTGCCTCTCATATAAATTTTTCCAGCAGGATGTTAAAAAGGTCACGCGAGAGGCTGTCACCTTGTTTGAACCATCGTTCGGTATTGAAGGGCTCCGAGAGGTCCTTTCCTGTAAACATTACAATTTGACAGGTTATGATCAAAATAGAGTAAGGAATACCGTGGCACAATAAATAGGTAGTCCATTAAGCGCAGCTGATGTCTCGACTAACTGTCAAAGTGGGTAATTTCTACTTTCGATGTGCAATGTTGTCAACCATGTGAAATATTATAAGACAAGTTTGACAGATGGTCGAGACAAAAACAAAGGGGGAATACCACGAAAAATGTGTTTTCTTCCAAACGAATGCTGTAAAAATGGTTTTCATTCAATTACATGCCATTATATTTCCATTTGATTTAGTATTCAAAACAATATACACATATACGCAAAATATGGATTTTAATGAATACATAATTTCTAATGTTAAATCAAAATTAAAATATTATTTTCGTTAGTCACCTACCACATATTATTATATTCCTTTTCTTTTATTAAAATTGTTGATATATTTAAATGTAAAATTAAATTTGTTGTGTGTGAACGACATATAACCAATAACTCTTAGCATTTGTAAAAGAATCAACCTGTATAGTGTTTGCTTGTCAATCATACTTCCGTTATAAGTAAAGTAACACCCATCCATTACCATTCTACTACGTTTTGTGCCAACCATTCAACGGGTATTCAGTGTTGCAACTGACAGTGTATTCATTTTGACAGTAGATTTTTCTCAACGCGAACTATCAGACTCTCAGGTGCGAATGATTACTTAACCAAATATTTTTGCAATTTTCCATACATAATTTCAAATAAAATTATAATTTGTTTCCTTATTCCAATTCGACAGAATGTTCCGCCTTGCTGCTAGCCAAATCGCTAACATTGCTCGTAGCTCCATCGGCGTAACCAGCCGTGTTGGTGTTGTCCGTGCTGCCCATCATGAAATTCCTGCCGAGGAATTCGACAAACAGTATGAAGATTACTTCAGCCGTGCCGATATCGATGGCTGGGAGGTGCGCAAGGGCATGAACGATTTGTTGGGTATGGATTTGGTTCCAGCTCCCAAAATTGTCGATGCTGGCTTGAAGGCATGCCGTAAGGTTAACGACATTGCTTTGGCCATCAGATGGTTGGAAGGTGTCAAGGATAAGTGCGGTGACAAGACCGATGAAATCTATCCCTACATCATCAACCACGTTCGTCCCACCCTCACTGAATTGGGCATTCCCACACCCGAAGAAATCAACTACGACAAACCAGAATTGGCCCTTAAGTCTGTGTTCGATATGTAAGGACGGGGTGAAGAATCTTTGTTTCTAATGTATTTAGTTTAATTTAAAAAAAGAACTTGTGATTGGGGACGCCAATAATGGAAATGTATTAACATGAATTCGCTGAAAACCCATTTTTCCTGGATGAAGAACAAAATAAAGCGTCCGATTTGTTAAAAACATATCCGATTTGTGTCGCTTCACTTATGTAATCGTGGTGTTGTGTGTCGGTGGGTATTAGTGTTTGTGTGTTTTTCTTTCGATAAAGGTGGTCGTCTGCTCTGTTAGTAGAATGAAGAAGAAAGAAAAAGTGGGGTTATGTTTCAGTTAGTTACCAATAAATACAGGAGTTGAGTGATTTGGATGAAATGGAATATTTCAAAATCAATTTTGGTAATTTTGTAAAATGCCGATTGGCCTTGAATAATGTAATTTGTTTTTATTTTTTTGTGGTAGTTGAAATAAAAACAAATGTTTTTTTCTGTTTAGGGTTGCCAATGTTGTATGAAATGATATAAAAATTCTGAGTTTAAAAAAAATAGGAACAAGTATCTTTATCGTACCCAAAGGGACAATTTAATTGTATACAAACATTTTTGGAAGTTGGATATGGGCTTAACTTGAGTTGAAGACCTGGCCACGAATAGTTTTGAAATTTATTATTAAAATAAATACAAGGGTCGCAAGGAACTTTGGAGGTCCATATGTCGGGAATTATAATAAGGTTATCTGACTTGGAAGACCTCCATATATTATTCTTTCCCAAAAGGACTTTTGTGTATGGGAGACGTATAGAATGTCTTTGGAAAACTTCCAAACAAAGGTCTCCAGAAGGGCTGTAGATCCTGCCTGTGAAAGATCTAATGTTTATAAATAGAGTACCCCCAGAAGGTGTTCCCAATTTATAAGCATTCTGGAAGTCCTTCTGCCAGTGGAAAACCTCAGGAAGGACTTATGTTTTTGATAACCCCCCAATGGAATTATACATATGAAAGTCTTCAAGAAGGCTTTTCGTCTGTAGAAGTCCTTCGGAATGCATTCTTCCTGGATAAGTTCTTCTGACCTCTAAAAGGTATTTTGCCTTTTGAAAGTTATAGAAAACCTCTAGATGACCTAGAATACGTCTAGAAGTTGTAACATCTATAAAATGTTCTATAGAAGAACTATAGAATAGAATAAATATTGTCATATATGAATATCCTTTATATCAGACCCATAGAGTAATATAATCATCGATAAAATAAACAATTAATTTTTGTTATCAATAAATATTTCAATAATCTATTTGAAAATATAGAGGACTTTATATATGGAAAAGGGCTCTATGTACCACCATTCATAAAAGGTGTCCCTCTTCAGAAGGTCTTCTGCCTAAAAAGGACTTTTATAATGTATTCTGCACACAAAAAAATAACTTCCAGGAGGTATTCTGTCTATATATAAGTCTTCTAAACGATCATTGGTCCATAAAAGACCCTTGGAAGGTATTCTTATTTTAGAAGACCACGAAAAGGTCACTTATAGAATATAATATATAATACTTCTCGAAGTTCTTTGCCCAATAGAACATTTCCTAATGATATACTCTCTATAGAATAGCAGAATATGGTGTTTATAAAAGAAGGCGAAAAGGTGTACCTTTAGATAATCTCAAAAGGGTATTCTTTCTGAAGACCTACTGACCTAGATTACCTAAAGCAAGTATTCTGTTCTCTGGCTTTTGTCATCTGCTAATAGAATATCTTTTATAGATAGAAGGTCTATAGATTATCTTTGAAATATTCCAATTTTATAGGATATCTTCGAGCTGTAAAATACTTCTAGAAGGTCTCATGTTCATAAAAGAAAAACTGCTTGTCAAAAGCATCCTATAGAAGACTTACAGAAATATAAGCCTGTATAAGATTTCAAGAATGTATTCTGCCTAAACTACTCTGAATGATTAAAAGGTGTTACTTATTAAAAAATCACAAAAGGACAACCAGGTCAGCAGGCACGAATTTTAAAACAATTTTCCAAAGGTCCTAACCCGATCTGCGGATGTGATTTTTTAAAGAAGTTTCAAAAGATCATAACGTAATCTACAGGCGTTGATTTTTAAAGAAATTTAATAGGTCATAACCAGTTCTATAGGCTTGGATTTTTAAAGATATTTTAATGTGCCTTTGTCAGCTCTACCTTTATTTTTTATGAATTTTTAAATTATACAACTCTGTTGGCATGGATTTTAAAGAAATTTTAAAGACCATAACCTGTTTAGAGGTATACATTTTTAGGAATTTCAGAAGTTCATAACCAGCAGAAGATCTGTATTAAGAAGAGTAGCAGATCTAATGTAGATCATCTAATTATTTTGCAGTTAAATCCCATAATTTTTTCTAGTCGGCATATTTATTTTACACAATAATATACATATAAACACATATATAAATATATTTTTATTTTGATCTAATGATCTTCAACAAAATAGTAACCTTCATACACCCTTATGGTATATTTTTAATTATTTTTTAATTTTTCCAATAATTCAGAAGCCTTTTCCAAATTGGCCTGTTTCTTGATGAAGCAATAGCGTACAAAATCCTCGCCCAAATGTTTGTGTTCATCGCTGTAAAAGGCACTGGGGGGAATGCCCTGGAAATTAGAAAAAATAATAATAATAAACAATGAAACAAAAAAGAGCTCCACAAAGCCACTAACCTGCAAACCCATATTTTTGGTCATCCATTTGGTGAATTTATAATCACGATATTGATCTGGTTCCGAGTTGATGTTGATTTTCTTTTCTGTAATAAATAAATAACAAATTAATTAAATTATTGAAAAGTAATACATTGAATACAAACTTACCCAAATTAGTCCAATCGGCCAACATGAAATAACCACCCTCAGGTATAGTTGGTTTCATACCAGCATCTTGCAAAAACTTCGCCATAAAATCACGTTTAACCTGCAACTCCCTTGGCAGGCTATTGAAGAAACAATCAGGGCTATCCAAACGTGTCATTTCCAATTCAAAACCACGAGCAACTGCTTCTTGCAGAGGCGTTGCACAAGTATACACAGAATTTTGATGTACCATTTGGAGATTACGTATTAAATTTGCTGGACCATATGCCCAGCCGGTTTTCCAACCCGTCACAGAAAATGTCTTACCAGCCGAACCAATTGTTATCGTACGCTCCCACATATCGGGTAATGTACAAATGCGAATATGTTTATTACCATCAAATACCATCCATTCGTAGACTTCATCCGACAGACAAAGTACATTCCATTTTTTACACAAATCAGCAATGAGTTCTAATTCCTTTTGGTTGAATACCTTGCCAATGGGATTATGTGGGGTATTTAAGATAATCATTTTTGTTTTGGAGTTAAACATTTTCTTGAGCTCCTCTTCGTCGAGTACCCAATCGGCTGAGGAAATTGTGCCCTCGGTTTTGGTCTGGAAATAGAAAAAATATTTCAATATGATAATGGAATTGGAATTGGAGGGCAACTTACCGGTTTCAAAGGTATAAATCTGGATACACCACCAGCCATTTTCACCATGGGATGGTAGCAGTCGAAGAATGGTTCAATAATTATAACCTCATCGCCAACATCAACATGGCCCATAATGGCCGAATATAGAGCCTCATAAGCACCAGCAGTAATCAAGACTTCATTCAAAGGATTTATTTCACGTTGCAACAGCTTGGAATACAATTTTGCAATGGCTTGTACCAAACGCATGTGGCCCTGTGGAGATGAAAAATGGAGAGAAAAAAAATTTATAAAGATGATATTAAAGTAGGAAGTAGATGAAACTATGGAAGGCCAAATGATATTGTGTTCTAGACCGAAAGATATTCATTAATAGAAAATCTGATAAGGACGATTATATATAAAATACCACAAGGTATTTTGTCCAGACTACTAGAAGGATTTATTCTAAAAAATATCTAAAAGAAGGTATTTTTGTGTAGATTTTTAAATAATTTCGAAGAGGCCGCTTTAAAGGCGTGGATTTTTAAAGAATATTTCGAAGAGCCATAGACGCTTTAAAGGCCGCCTTAAAGGCGTGGATGTTTAAAGAATATTTCGAAGAGCCATAGACGCTTTAAAGGCCGCCTTAAAGGCGTGGATTTTTAAAGAATATTTCGAAGAGCCATAGACGCTTTAAAGGCCGCCTTAAAGGCGTAGATTTTTAAAGAATATTTCGAAGAGCCATAGCCGCCTTAAAGCGTGGATTTTTAAAGAATATTTCGAAGAGCCATAGACGCTTTAAAGGCCGCTTTAAAGACGTGGATTTTTAAAGAATATTTTTAAAAGCCATAACCAGCTCTAAAGGCGTGGATTATGAAAGAATATTTTTAAAAGCCATAACCAGCTCTTAAGGCGTGGATTTTGAAAGAACATTTCGAAGGACCATAACCGCCTTAAAGGCGTGGATTATGAAAGAATAATTTAAAAGCCATAACCAGCTCTAAAGGCGTGGATTTTTTAATGACTTTTCAAATGGCCAAAATTGTTCTCTAAATCTATAAAAAAAAACAAATTCAATTGTTGTTGTTGTAATAAATCTCTAGTTATAAAAAAAACAACTCCTCAACATCATAATAATGTGGGCCAGTTATCGTATTCTAATACATATTTAAATTGAGATCCCATATGGAATATGAAGTAAGGTTTCCCATTACAAATACGCTACACGCTTCTATTTATAGAATATATAATTTTAATCGATACCACTAATAGGTCTTCTGTAGAAAGAACGCTATTTATAGGGCTTCCATGTATACACAAGGATTTGTGGACCACCTACAGATGGGAGTGCATTCCAAAAACGATCTGTATATCTATAAACAAATTTAATTTCTCATTAAACTTTTTAGTAGTAAATTTTTATCTATACATTCCACAAAATACCTCCCTCAATTCCATTATACATATATATTTCTAATAGAGATTCAATTTGAGAACCCATATGGAACATAAAATAAGGTCCAGTGGCCTCTATAATATATATAATTTTATGGATAGGCCTTTTGCAGAAAGAGGATAATTTAGAGGGATTCTTCTAAATGGCTTATAGATCTTCTGTAAAAAAATAAAATGAATTAAATTTATAACAATTTTTAATAGCAAATCTTTATCTATATCGTTCAAAAAAATACCCCTTTCACTTCATAAATGCTGTGTATCAATTTTTGTTATTCTAATCCATATGGAATATAAACTAAGGTTTCCCATTACAAATACACGGAACAATTCCAACATGTTCTAAAACCCTGCTCTCTCTCTATAAACCACCATATGTTTATAGCTTGCTTTTAAGCAGCGTGTCTCACATTCATTCCACTAACAACAATTTGTCAAGTTATTTAAATTTTTTCTAATAACTAATAAAACAATCTACTTGTCTGTTGGTGTTTCTTTCCGCTCTCTCGTTTTCTAGCTTATCATCTGAAAACGCCAAAAATGATGTAATTAAATATGTAGACTTACAAAACCGCGGGTATATTGCTGCAACAAAGGATTCTCGTCTTTGGCAATTTCTGCCAAAGCTTTAGTGACATATTCCGGTGCGGCATCATCAGGAAAACCTTGACCCAAATTCAAGGGTTTATATTCCATGGCCAGGGCAATGTATTCATTCCTATAAGAAGTGGGAATTATTAAAGGACCTTTAAAATTTCCAAAATTATACTTACCAAACACTTGGAGCACTACCCTGTAATCTTTGTGGCAAATCAAATTTCTCCATTATCGCGGAAGAGCTGCTATATTCCCTTTTATTTGTAACTTGTTTGGTCTGCTGTTCAAATGAGACTAACTGATACAATTGTCGCTGTGGCAGACGTGTTTTATTTAACAACAAACGTAAACTATTCTGAAGCATCTAAAAAAAGTTAGAATATAGAAAAGCAACAACAAGAAAACATAAATATTTAAAAACTTAGAGAAGCCAGCTGATTCTGTATCGTTGATGACAAAAATAATGCGTGTGTGTGTTTAAAGGGTGAAATACTAAAAAAACTATTGATAAGATCACCTCTACGTTTTGCAAAATGATAAGACCACACACAACAATACATTGATTATGACTTACATTTTAATCTATTATTTCCTAATTATTTGCTTTAACTAAACTAATATCACAATTTTACTTAAATGCACTTCGTTGCTGTTCGATGGCTGCACAAAATCTAATGTTACAAATGGTTTATTTAATTAAAATAGTTGCATAACACACACATACACATCAACATACACAAACGTACGTTGTCGTCTGGGCATCAACGTTTTGTTTTTTTATTTTTTTTAATAAAAATAAATACATTTATTCAACAAGTATTTTTAAATAAATACATTTGACTTGCAAAATATATTAATTTATGAAACACCCTGTTTTGTCTATTTAATAAACACCTGTTTTTTATGATTATAATAAAGATTCTAATTTTAATAAATTCGTTTTATTTTTTATTTATAAGTTTACTTTATGTTTTTTATTCACAACACTAACAACAATGCTAATTTTTTTGTTTTTGTTTATTTGTTGCAAAACGTTAGCGGCGATAACAGCTGATTTGTAGGGAGATTCTTAAAATTTTGCTGTGTGGCACTTTTAGCGATATGGTGAATGAAACGGACAATCAATGACATCAAACACAAAATAGAAGACAAATTAATTGTGTGTTTTTGGTATATATATATATATATAATATATATTATACTGTTTTTTATATATCATAGCTTTGATAAATAATAAACAGCTATAATGACAACCGTTAATATGAACGTACTTGACATACATGGCTAGATATGTGTAATTACCGGGTAAATGCCGTTTTGCGGGTATTTATTTGGGTATTTGTAATATTTTTAACTGTCAATACAACATCATAAAGCGGGTTTACATATAACATTTGATCATGATTTAAAGGACGAATCAGTATTTATTTTGTTAATCAGGCTTAATTTACCATGATTTATTATACAAATTAAAATCATCGTGCGGCAGGGTTTATTTTAAATCGTGAACGAAATCATGATACTAATGAGACGCAACGCGTCAAATATAATCCACTGGATTTGTGAACAGGATTAACGTGACGTATACGCAATGGAATTGATATTTGAGATCGAGTGGATTTCGTAAAACTAAACGTACCTATAGGGTGTATTTCTGGATTTCGTTAATCGAGTCAATTTAAAATCGTATATCTAAATTTACTTTTATACCACTTGACGAACGCACTTAGACGAAGCGCGTTTTAGACTACTAATCACTCACTTCCAAATGTCAATTCCATAGAGTATACGTCAGCTTGATCATGTTCACAAATTGACTGTATTGTATTCGACGTATATTTGACATTTTAAATCGAGTAGATTTCCTAAATCTGAACGCACTTCACAAATTGCTAAATTTCTTTTATATAACATAGGTTTATAAATATTTTGTCAGTAGGGAATAACATTTTAGAATTTCCACAAATCATTTCCGCTAAATTTTTAAACATCGGTTAAGTTTTCGCTGAGTTATATGCATTTGAATTCAACGATGTTCCGAAATATACTTACTGTGGACGCCTATTTCCATGGCATAATTATACAAGGTAGTCTCATGCAGTCATATGTTTCCAATTTCTTTCATAAAATTGTTTAACTACCAAAGCCTATAAATAAGGTCACCCAGGGAGACCAATTGGATATCTGTTGCCTCTCAAGTTTGTTGTCAAAATCCATTATTATGAATTGACTTCCATAGTAAAAACGTAAAAAAGTCCACATTTTTGACTTCAGAAAAACAGTTGATTTTCCCTAGCTGGGTGACCTTTTGTTTATTAATAGATCTTCTTGATAACATTCAGCTTTCAAAATTTAAATGGAAATACCTTCCTTTGAAATATACGCACAGCATTATGGCATCATGCAGTCATATTTTTCCAATTTTTCATAAATTTGTCTTTGACAGTATGTATTCAAATTTCAAAATTTAAATGAAAATATCTTTCTTCGAAATGTACGCATATCATGTGTTTAGTTGCAAAAAATACTAAATAATTTATATTTATAGATATTTTTAAGTTCCCTGCCTCTTAAATTTAAAAATATGAGTTGTGGTGCTAAAGTTAATTTTCTATTAACATGGGAACTCTGTCAAACAATTCAAGTAGAAATTGCGCACTTTGACAGCTAATCGAGTCATCAGCCGCTCTAAATGGACTACCTATTTATTGTAACATGCCAAGGCCTATTAATAAGGTTATCCAGGGAAATCAGCTGTATATCAGCTGATTATCAAGTTTCCTGTCAAAATCTTTTATTGTGAATTGACTTCCGTTATCAAAACGTAAACGAAGCCAGAATTTTTGACATTAAACTTCAGAAAAAACAGTTGGCTTTCGCTTGCTGGGTGACATTTTTTATAGATATTGGTTGATACTGTCGGATAGTGTATGTTCTAAGCTATTTATTGGAATTATTTCTGTATCATTACGCATTCAAAAGTTATGAAGAATCTAAAATACCGATGAGTTTCTGTAAATTTGGCAGAATTATTGGTAAACACTTGTCGTCAGCGCCATCTATTGAATGGGTAGATACAAAACATGATTATGAAAAATTCTTCTTTTAACTTTTGACCTACAATTGGTAAGTTTAAAAAGTTGGTGTCTATGCAATGTATAATTTCATACTTTCTTGAAAAATAACAATAATTTTAATACCTTTATTTTTGATTATAAAATATAGTATTAAATTTGCCTATAATTTCCCACATTTTGTGTTATACGTTTCGGGTAGTAAAGTAGATTATTTACTTTTTCGTATGACACCTGTTTCGTAGAGATTCGATTATGCGTTCAAAAGTTATACGCTTTGTGAGCACGCCCACTAATAGATGGCGCTGGCGACAGGGGTTATAAAAATTACACATCTCATTTATTATGGCCATAACTTTTTCGTTCTGCAAATATTAAAATGAAATTAGTGTCATATGAAAGGTAGAATCGTATACATTCTAGTGAAATAAATAAAACATCGAAATTAGTTTAATATTGATAAGAAATTTGTTACATTACATTGTGTGACAGGTACCAGAGTGGACCGATGCGATTGAAAGAAATATTAAGATGTGCGTATTTTGTATCAAATCGGTAGAGTTGGGTAGTTCCGGAACGAACTAGTTCATTGGAACTATTCCGAGAAAGGAATGATCGGAACTAATTAATATAGTTCCTTCTTCTGATCTCGTTCCTTTTTTTTCTGATCTCGTTCAAAGGAACTATTTGCCCCATAAATGAACTATATGGTGTAAAGGAACTACATTAAGGAACTAGTTCCTTTTAAAAAAGGAACGAGAAAGATCGATCTGCCAGGTGAACTAGATTGCCCAACTCTACAAATCGGACATTCCATACGATAATTATTGTTCGGTATAACCGATATAAATAATTTCGACTGTACTAAAATTCCTGGTACAATTTACAAGGTAGAGTATTTTTTTTTCAATAAAGAAAAAAACACCTCTAACTTGTGGCCTATAATGTCAGAATAATTAAACAAATGCAAGTCATTCTGTTCATTTTACATATTTTTAACATTTTAGTAAAAAATGCGAAAAATTAATGGAATGTCGGGTTTTCATTTCAAAATATTATATACAAAGTCACACATTTTGTATTATACTTTGACATAGCAAGCCACAATATGAAAACATTATCAGACTGTTTATGTATTTCGAAAGAAAGGTTTCTTTCGCTTTCAATGCGAATGAAAATCAATTTTGGTTCATATAAAAACTTTTTACAGACAAAAGATGTCGAACGATAATCAACTCGAAAGAAAACGTAAACGTATATTTTTTCTTTACAAATTGGGTTTATGTATGACGAAACAGCTGTCATCATGCGAACGAGAATGTGAAATTCACTCACTTGCTTTATAGCTTTCGAATGAATTGCAAAATCGCGAACTATCGCCCATGTGACATGTTCCGAGAGTTTTTGAATTCCCATACTTTTTTTAAATTCCCATGTTGTGCAAAATGGTGTGCTCAATTTCGAGCGAATGTGCGGCTCCAAAGCATAGCTGTGTTCAATATGTTACGAAATGTGTTCAATAAAAAAACATATGTTTCATTGGAATTTGCAATTTGTTTAACAATAAAATTAAGAAAAAATATGCCTGCTGGCTTATTAATTGCCCTGGTTTCTAGCAGAAAAAGTCTAATGATACTGGAAGGTGTTAAAATAAGCATTTATGGATATTTTGAGAGAAGTTGGTCCTTTCATACACAAGGGTACCATTCCCGAAAGCCTGCAGTTAGCAGCAAAGATTTCTGGCTGTTGGTGGGTTTCAGAGGGTAGTGGCAAATTATTCAAATATAAGTGTTGATCGCACAACAATGTGTAAAATATTGTGGAGAGTAATGAAAGTCCTGGAAGACAAAGTGTGTGCAAGCTGTGGACAGCTGCAGACCAGGATCCAGCCATGATGCTTTTATTTGACATATGAGTGCAGCTAGGCAGCATTAACAAAAGGGGAAATGGTATGCAAAATAGTTGGCTTCTAGGAGACTGTGGTTACGCTTTAGAAACATTTTTGATGACGCCCTATAAACAAGTGGAGCATGGAACTTGTCAACATCGATATAATAAAGGGCACACATCTGCAAGAAACTTTATTAAAAGTATTGTTACGTTCTTGGACTTCACTTATTCCCGTGTAGACGTTGTTTTATTTCCCGATACAGTTCGTACCAAATAAAACGCGGGTTCGTTCAGATTACGATTATTATAATGACATTATTCACACAACTTTACTTTGCACTTTACTTTACACGACGGTTTCAATTCGCGATCTGATTCACAACTGACTCACTGCCTTTCC